TGAGATTGTCCCGTTGCAGGGCCTGCTCCTCCAGTGCCAGGCTGTAATATACCTGTTCATCCTGCACATGGTCCAGGGCATTCCAATGCGAGATATTTGGATGCATCACCAGTATAGCCTCCAAGACCCTCTTTGCTGTGCGGTGGAGCTTCTCCCTGCGCGATTTGAGCTGCCCTGGTGTCAAATCGGGTACAGATGCCCCATTGCATAGTTTGTGTAGATGCTGGAGCATTGCGTTGTATCTCTCCACAGGAGAAGCTCTGGCCCTGCCGGTAGGGTTTGCTTCAATTACCCGAGGACCTCTTCTGTTGCTGTTTGATAGTACCTGGCTTCTGTAAGTGGGATCCAGGATGCTTCTTGTTGCCAAATCGCTGCCTGCGTCTTCCAATGGCGACATGAATTGCTGTCGAAATCCATCATTCAAGACGTTCAGTTGTACGCCTTGTTGGCTGATTTCGGATCTCATTGCCATCATTTCTTGCAAGAGTCTTGCGGTGAAGTCAATGCTGGCAGCGTTGTTGTTGTTGTTGTTGTTGTTGTTGTTGTTGTTCATGGTTCGCGCTGATAATAAAAATTTAGTAAGCAAAGAAAAGATATGTTTAGAGTTGTGTTATACCGTATATCTCGTTGCGCACACACCACCACGTTGTTGAACGTCATTCGGTTCACAGGCTTCATGCAAGTAATGCTGACCTCATTGTACGCCCATAGTATAAGCATATGTGCACAGTGAATACCACTCGATTTGACATGATGTTGAAAGTGAAATGACGTAGAAGTAGCCTGAGGCGACATATCACATCATAGGAAACACGTTCCTTACTTGATCTTGGACTTTGAGTTACCAAACGTTATATGCAAGACTACGTATCACTTGCTTGTAAACGATGATAAACGCATTTGTTGGCGAGCGCAAATAAAACTTGAATTAGTATATAAAGCTGCCACTTGAAATTTGTTTTTACTTGCCTATTTTTCTTGGTTTCTCCAAACATGTCATTCTCAATCCGTATATCACGAGAAACAGAGCCATCCTTCTGTACAAATTGCTATACCAGCTTTGACAGTGCCCGTGCTCTACGCAACCATCGCCGAAACTGTCGTGCTCCCATTTTGAATGAAGATCAAGATGTTGAAATGGAAGAGCAACCTCCAATGGAAACAACGCTGATACAGCCACAATCTCCCCCCAGTGCGCTAGTCACAGCCAATTCAGATCATGCAAACCAGCTGCATGATGATGATGCCATGAGTGATATTGAAGAAATGATTCCTGCTGCTGACGATGCTGATTACGACTACGCAGGCTTTGAACAGACGCCGGGTGCTGCTGATCTGCTGCCTATTGTCGATAATAATGGTAAGGAATTGCAGCGCTAAAGTAGATGTATATACTCACAATAGCGGATTCCACACATGCGATAACAGGAGACAATCCAGAAGAACCAGGGCTTGAATTTGATTTGCTAAATGTCAAATACAAGACAGTTGGAGTAGTCGACCCAGATGCAGAAGATCAGGCTTGCTTCTACGATTGCAGATCCCTCGAAGACATCAACCAAAATACATATACAACCACAGAACTGGTTTCGATTGAGCTGTATGATATCGTCAATGATTTTGCTATACCACGGGATGCATACAGAAAGTTGGTCAGGTTGATGAACACTGTTTTGAGAGATACAGAAAAAATTAGTCGAGGTAATTCGCATTGCAATGACATGTCATTTATACAATAACTCACCAGCTTCCGATCCTCCCCCTCCCATGAACTGATAGAAAGCAATCCGGAGATTATGCATGGCCCTCGTGTGCAAAGCATGCTTCAGCGCCAATCATCGTTGACATCCCATGAATATGATGTGTGTATCAATGGCTGTAAGCTGTACGCATTGGAAGTAGATGACGAGGAGACAATTTGTGATATTTGTTCCCATGAAAGATACGATGCACGGGGAGATCGTCGAGCCCTGTCAACAATGAAAGTCATGTCAATTGGAGACATCGTATCACGATTAGTTGCGAATCCAATAACGAGAGAGGAGCTTCGGTACCGACATGCCTACGACAACAGAGACCTTGAAGAAAATCCATCCGATGTTATCATTGCTGACGTATTTGACGGCGCCACGTACAAGTCCATCAAGAATACGCATTTCACAAATGACCTGGATATCGCAGTTGCGATCATGAATGATGGCTTTGTAGTTGAAAAGAGAGGTGATCGGCTATTCACAATTATTCATCTGATGGTGTTCAATTACGATCCACACAAGCGTTACAAGGAGGAGTACACGCACGAGCTTTGTATCTTTCCAGGAAAAAAGAAGCCCAAATCATTTGACTCGTTCATTTCCATCATCTTGGCAGAGCTCCAGTGGCTTTCTACGTATGGAATGGTAGTCGAAACAAATGATGCTGGGCCAATTCGTTTGAAGGTTCATCCTCTAATTTGTGGTGGTGATACTCCAGGTAATTATCCTGATTGATAAAGCAACTAATCAGCATCCACAATGGCTAACATGAAATTGATTTACCTACCTGCTTTATTCTAGCCGTGTTTGACTGGAGCAAGTGTGCTCATCATGCATCTGAGTATGGCTGTCGTTGGTGTCTTTCGCGTGGTATGCACCCTGATAATCGCAGCCATGGGATGTACTTTCCAAATGCTGGAAGCATGCGTACGAATGAAGATTACGAGAGGGCTGAGTCCAACCTTGGATTCAACGGTGTTAGCCTTTTCAATCAGCTATCGTCATGCATTGCACCCCAATGCTTTGGATTCGAAGAAATGCATACATTAGCACGAGGTGTTGGTTCAGAACTCTTCGAGATGCTCACTGTCGACCTGTCTCCGAACAACACAAAGTTCTTCTACACATATCCAGATGGTGAATTGGAGCGAGAAAATTATCCATTTTTCATTCCAAAGCAACGGCTGTTCGAGATTGGCAAAGCAATTGAGGACACAAGATCATATATACCAGTTGCATTTGATGGAAGCTTTTTGAATCTGGTGGAGAAGCTACGAGGCACCCGCAGTGTTGACTATCTTGATAATTTGCTGGTAAGATCAGTTCCACTGTAATCTGCAAACGTACACATGTAAGGCGTGAATTAGGATCTGATTATTCTGATTTGAAATAGACCATCATACCTACTCTCTTTGTCCCAGAATTAGCCAGTCCACAGGCTAGGAAAGCAATCATGAAGCTGGTTAGAGGCGTCTGTCTTGCATTGCAATGGGAGTTCACTGAGTCTAGGTTGGCAGAGATTGATGAATGCATTGACTTCTTCATTGACTACTGCAAAGCTCAGAGAGATGCCATGTGCTTGTCACTTTCGGTCTTCCGTCCCGTAATGCATCAGCTTACACATGTAGTGTGGATGATAAGAGAAATGGGGCCAATTGTAGCCTACTCCTCACGAAGTCAAGAACGGTTAGTCATCTATACATGCTATGTTTATCACACACATCCAGTTACTTACATAACAACATCATCCATTTTACAGAAGCATTGGAAAGTTTGGTGATTTGATAACTGGCAAGTCAAGGACAGGCAAGCAATCTTCCAACTTGATTGAAATTGTTGCAATCAGAAACCAGCTGAAAAGGATCTTCGACTCAAATGAGTTCCTCCAAGGCATTCGACCGCAGCCATATGCATCCATCACATACCTCAATCATCCAGAATCTCTAACAAGCTCACAGTTGTGGGAACCTGATCAAGAAGAGACAAATTTGGATCATCATTTTGGCTTCGATGGTACTGATCGTGCTGAACTCCATGGTGTTCCAATTGCAAGATTCAAGCGTGCTTTGTCGAAATACTATTGCAGGATATTCTCTCTTCAAAGGCTGAACAGTCCATTGTCAATGACGATCAAGGTTGCCCATCGTGCTCTAATCGGTTCTACTGTCATAGGATCAGAAATATACAGAGAGAAGATGCATGAGTTTCGTAGAAGCAACCATCTGGTCATGTTTAGGTCAACTCACCTCAATCGACTTAATCACCCTGTTTCCTGTTGGTTTGTTTCGCGAGTGATATTCTTTTTCCAACATGTCTATGATGGGTCGACCTACTTTTTGGCTTTCGTTGAAACCATGAAAAATCATGGTGTTGCTTCTCACGACAGGTCTGTCCCTTTTGTTCGTATGAATGAGCCTGTCGAACAACAAATTGCAAGAAGGGTGCCGAGAGTGATTGATCCCAAGTATGCTGTCATTTCTATTGACGATGTTGAGATGCAAGTGGGATTGGTGAAATCTTTGGATAACGACTTGCACTTTAGCGTCATTGCAAACTACCATGCGTTTGAACAAGATATGTCGATCGATGCTGGCGATATTCGCAACCTTTAACGAGGATTGAAATCGCAACATACAGATTTTTTTTTTTGCTTTCGCGTAAAACTACCCACTTGAGGCTACGAAATAAAAGATAATACATTTGTCAATACAATACATAGCTACATTCATTAATCATACTTGTATACCTCTTACAGCTTTGTTGTCCATGAAGGCATGCGCAAAATAATTATAAAAAAAAATAATAAAAGAAAAGGATCCGCATCACTGACCATCAAAGCATTTTGAGAAAAGCATAATTAACCCAGCAAGGTTAACGTCCAACGAAGAAAAAACGAGTTTGCTCGGATTCGAACTGGCGACCTTCAGTTTGTTAGTCAGGAATATTACCACTTTGACATAGCGACTCAAAGTAACCAGAAACTTGGGTCACGTGATTTTTTCTCCTGATTTGTTTCAAATTGAGCAAGTTTGGAGGCTTCTAACTTCGTAGATAATGATGCTACGAATTGGCGTTCGGTACGAAAAATAAACAAAAGAACTCAAAAAGTCTGACCATACCATTTAAAAGCGCATATCTGATAACTATCTTCACAGTGTAAAGCCAAATGTTCTGATATGGGAACATCGAGGTGCTCACGAGAACATCGATGTTCCCAAAAGAGCGCATCGATGTTCTGTGAGAACATCAGTTGGGCCGTAGTGCCAGAGGAGCAACAGAAGATCGAAAGGATTCACGGAGTAGGCCCAAAGGCCTCTCTTTCGTCAATTTCGAGAGCTTCCATTGCCGCCGAGGAGCCAGAACAGAATCACCAGGAGCCACAGTGTCATCGAGAGGTGGCACATACCCGAAAGTAAGTGACATCAATCGATGGTCAGAACCAAGAGACAGATCAGACTCAACCACCAGTTGAGGGTTCACCAAAGCAACATCACCAATATTTGTCAGAAACAAATCGATAATACTACTCAATTCTTGCTGCTGCCGAAAAGAAGAGTAAGTCTTGACACCAAAAGCCAAAGACGCATTAAGCACAGATAAGCAATGTTCGTCAAACCAAGGTTTGAGAGCATTACCACGAGCATTGGAGATAGCATCACCAGTCAGAGGACCCAACCAAGCATTGAAATCACCGCAGAGAATAGTATCCCTAGTCATAGGTAATGAGCTGAGGGCCGAGAGCACCTTATCAGAGGATAAGGGTGGAGGAAAGTAAACACAATGAACCGTTAGGGTGCCAACCTTGAGAGACAGAGTGTGCGGATTGTATGAAGGGAGTTGGAAGACCGTAAAGGGGCAAGAAGGAGAGACAAAAGCAGTGATACCACCAGAACCACGGTTGAAAGCACCAGGTACTTTTGAACCATACAAGTGGTATTGAGACCAGTCAATCGGATAGGAACCAGAAGTGAGCCAAGTTTCAGTGACAAACAGAACATGAGTATCAACAATATGAGAAATAACATCATGAACTGTTGTTTGACGAAGACCATTCGCATTCCAAAGAGAGAGAGAGACAAAAACCGGGGGGACAGACACATTATTCAAATTACCAGACCATGATTCATTGTTAAGAGACATTAGATCTCCATTTCAGAATCAGTAGAAGTATCACGGCGACGCTTGAACAAGAAAGCAGCCTTTTTAGGGTCCTTTTCCTTTAGTCGGTCCATAGCACCAGCAACAGCCTCGTCCAGTTCGGCTTGACCTATCCATCCAAGATCCAGGAACCAACGGCCAACACTACTCACATTAAGTGGGCGGATGTGGGACAGAGCATCTACGCTGCGAGCATTGACCATCTCAGCAATGAGATCCATTCGATCGTGTTCAGAGTAGGCATCGTATTGTGGGTCGGCAATATTAGCAGGATTCAACGGGTCAAAATCCTCCAATATTTCCGATTCACTTGCACGGAGCAGAGCCAAGAATTCAGCAACATATTGGGTATGCAAGAGAATACCAATAGCTTCGGAGGCAGGGAAGTTGATGTCGAGGATACGAGACGTATCCACCCCAATGGCCTTGAGAGTGCGTCGAATTTCAGAGCGTAAGATCTTGCCAGATCTACCAATATATACATATTGGTATCCTTGGGGACCCTTAGCAGCAGACGTTTTGAAGAGACGACCAGCAGCCAACTTTCTCTTAGTAGCTTTAGTTGGATCAGGGCGATGTGCAGCCTTCTTAGCTATAGCAGAATAGCTAATAGTACCAGAATCAGTGGTGGCAGTAGCAGAGGTGGTGGATCCAGATGCCCCCTTGATGGGGGTGCTTGTAACAGAATCCTGTGACGTGGCTTGCAATTTTTCAATGACCAGATCCTTGTCGTGTAAAATTTTTTTCAAGGCTTGGTTTTCCTTTTCCAAAGCATCGAGACGAGCCAAAATACCATCATGTTGATTAACACGTTCAGAAAGAGAGGCAAGTTGTTGCTGTAACTGTTGCATGATAACAGTAACCTGATTCATATCAGTTGGGTGCTGAAACTCGGGCATATTGCTGATTATTTTTTTAGAAATTGTTGAAGATCCAAAAAAATATGAAGGAGATGTTCAATAAACTTGAAACTATAACACAATAGACAGAGACTAAAGGCAAGTATACTGGTATAGTTTTGGAGTTGATTGAATTGCTGATTGTTGGGAAAATAGCGTTTTTCGTGATTCTAAGGAGACTTTTTACGGAGAGGGTGGCAAAAAGTGATGAAAAACGGAAAGAGATCCCGGCTTTAGCTCAGTTGGTAGAGCGGAAGACTGTAGTGAAACTGTCATCTTTAGGTCACCTGTTCGAATCAGGTAAGCCGGACATCTTTTTTACATTTTACAGCAAATGTAGTGTATGTAGCCTATTGCTTTTGACTGTATTAACAGCTGTAGCATCTTACAAAGCTGCTATGGGGTAAGGAGCAATGATCATGTCTACAAAGTTGAGCCGAATCGAAGTTGGCAATGTTCTATAGCACTTTATACTATTTGCCTTCCATATGTTTAGCAAAGGGTATCTTGTGATATAACAATATTGATCCGAAGGTACCATTTGCAAGGCAATGGTCGCTAATCAAAAGTCTCCTGATGCTCCTGCAAGGAAAAGAACGTATGACATTGCTTAAACTTTTCTTCTAGCGTCCATAACCATTCGTAAAGCACCTCCAAGTTGAAATGTTACCAAAAAAAATTCTGGATGAGAGTTTAATGCAGCTGTTGATATGACTTTATTTATAAAATGGATCGATTGTACTAATGTCTAAAATATTCTAATGACGATGAGCAGGAGTGAGCTGAACATCACCCTCACCACTGTTTAAAAGTGCCTTGACTTTTTCCGTATACATTCTCAAACCATCACCCATAACAGTAATCTTGATCTGAACATCCTTGGTATTTTCCAGAGTATCTTCATTTTCAACGGGTGTGAGTGTCCATCGACCAAAAGCATGGTTCACAATAGACAATTGACCATCATCCAAACGAACAAAACCTTTGATACGGTAGATATCTTCCTTGGGCATGGACTTGAGGAATGTCTCAAATTGTTCGAGCGTCAACTTGTTGTCATTGACAGATTGGAGGATCTGGATCAAATCGACCTCGTTTTCTTGGTGCTTAGGATCAAATACAGATTCTTCCAAATGCTTCTCCCTTCCATAGCCCACCTTGAAGAGTTGAGTGTCTAAACCAAACACAAGATCAGGAGAGACGCCCTTTTTGTCGCATTTGACCTTGGGTGTATCGGTATTCAAAACGTTGATGTGATCAATGACATTGTCTAGTTGACGTTCATCGACCAATTCATGCTTGTTGAGTAAAATGACATCGGTATATTGAGCTTGCAACTTGGCTGTATAGCTAGTGTCCTCATAACCAGTAAAGTTCTCGCAATCGACTACTGTAATGATGGAATCCAAAACAAAACCTTCGCTCTCCATTTCACGAATTTGCCAGGCAATGGGAGCTAAAAAATTTTCAACTGGTATTAGAACAGCTGATATGATCATCTCGTCATGGATTGCACGTCTTACCAGGAAAAGCTGAACCGCTAGTCTCGACAATAATTCTATCAGGGTTGTACTGGTCTATGGGCAATGATATTAGTAATCAAACATACATCTACTTAAAATGAGCATTCACCTCTTAGTTCTTGAAGCGCCAACTTCATTTGACCAACAAGTACACAGCACATGCAGCCATTGACCATCTCTTGCACACCCACATTGGTCTCCTTTGCCAATTGACTATCAACTGTGGCAGTAAATGTCAGCATATGTTGGTATGAAAACCAGTTACCAGACCATTCTTACCTGCAATATCACCAAATTCATTCTTCAATAAGCACACTTTGTAGTCTTTGGGAACACGCTGTAATAAGCTCAAGATTTGTGTAGTTTTACCACTGCCCAGAAAACCAGTAAAGACAGTGATAGGGAGAGGTTTGATAGCAGTAGGCATTGTAGTTTGAAAATCACGAGTGTAAAGAAAAGAAAGAGTGCAAATGAGATTTCATGTTTCAAGATAAAATCAACTACAGGTTTCACAAATCCAAATAGAGACAGTACTAATCTTTGGTTATCAGAACGGATCTTTTATTAATGATGTCTTTGTTTCTTCTCCTCAAGAGACATCTTGTTCAATGTCATGATATCGCCCTCTCTTAGTAACTCTTCCTCTCTTGAGGCCCCATCTCCCTTTTTGCGCAAGGCGGGAAACTCCTTTCGTGGTATGAGAATTTGATGTTCTTCTTCCTCTTCCTCTTCCTCGACGTCACCGTTAAAGTAGCCATTTACCAAGTTTCTAATGCGAGGGCTTGCAGGAGCAGACAATGGCTTTGGGATCTTCTTGACGACAGCGTCTAGGTCTAATTGATCATCATCGTCAACAAATGACTCTGGGTACACGCGGCGCAATGCCAATTGACGTGCTTTAATGTATTCTAAACCCATGCGCTTCCAGTCTAGCAGATCTGATAATCTCTCGGTACGATTACGTTGATTGATACGCTGACGTCTTGTCTTTTGGCAGAATCTAAACATTTGCTCGCACAGTTGCTGGATGGACTCTTCGACAGATTTGAGTCTTCGATCGACAATGTAAATACCATAGTCCTCGCAGTTTTCAATGTTTTCATCCATAAAGCACCCAAAACCAGATAAGCTAGAGCCAAGTTAGTCATTGTACAAGTACGTATCATCTCATAGACACACTTACTTTGTTGTAATAGACGGCACACCCATCACTGTGCACTCAGCAGGTGTATATCCCCAAGGCTCATAATAAGATGGAAAGACACCCAAGTGGCAACCACGCACGAAATCTTCATAGTCGAGGCCCAGCAATGGATTGTTAGCATTTAGGAATTCAGGGTGGAAAATAGTCTTTACGCGGTCATCCGATTTGTTGTATAGCTGAAGGCGTCTCAATTGATTGATGATAGGGTCGATGCCATCATCCACCATGTTATGCGTGACAATAGGTGGTAGGCTGTGATTCTTCAGCGCAAATACTCGACGTTTCAAGAGCACCCTATCCTCACTATGCAGGAATTCCGCAGGATCCAGCTCTTCGCCTTTGAGAGCACTTTCAAATATACGCTTACCAATACGATCCTGAATCTCGTTGACAGTTTCACGAAGCTGCTTGGTGACAGCCTGGCCCTTGAGAGCTTCCACGTTGAATGAGCGAGTTGCAGCAGGCATGACGAGGAACACCACAACAGTTGTGTTTGATTTGGCTGCTTTCAAACGATCATTCAAACCTTAAATGGGTTGTTTCATGTCAATATGATGCGTGCTCATAACGAATAGCACATGTACTTACGTCCAAGTGCCTCTACAAACATATCCACGCCCTTGTTACGGAACTCGTAGCGACCAGCAGTAAAGAGATAGACAGTGTTGTCCAGATCAAAATCATAATGACCATAGAAATGACCTCTGACAAAATCATTGATCTTTTCCTTATTCAGGGCATGCTTATTTTGAAACTCGTGGACAGCTTGGAATTTTACTACGTTTAAACCGTTTGGCAAGACGCCATCTATCTCATATGTTGAGTCAGACGTCCATAAGACCATATTTCCAATCATCGCTTTACCTGGCTTTCGCTTCAGCAAATGCTCGCTCTCATAAGCAGTGATATGACTGACAGTCGTAAAAACATCGGAACAATGGGCTGCGCCTCGCTCAATACAGTAACGATGATAGATACCACGCTTACCGGCCTCGTGATCAACATCAAAGTCTCGGAGGTTGTTGTAGAAATCAACCGAGCCAGCACACAAGTAACGACCCAGAAGAGTAGCATGTGTTGTGAAGATGGTAGTGATGTCAATCTTGCGCTTCTTGATGAGAGGAATGGCAACACCAGCCAACCATTCGTGAAAATGAGCAATAATAGCTGGACTTGGTTCAGATTCGGTTGATTGTGCACTGTACTACTCCAAATCAGCGTGAATAACTTGATGTGTGTCTTTGACTAGGTGCCATTTTACCTTGCTTGCTACTTCGCCAAGGAACCAGGTAACCATGTATCCAAATAGAATAGCCTCATTGGTCTCTTGATCGCTTGGAGGACTAGGGATGCCTGCCACTCGCCAGAGATCTCCTTTCCATTCATCCAGCTTATGGGTCACACTACCTGTATCAAACAAGAGCACATAGGGAGCACCTTCGACTAGCCATCGACCAAAGAGATACTTTACACCCTGAGCGGACATGGCCTCTAATGTTTCCCGTATAATCCCAGAGGGTGGCTCGAGAGCCTCCACTTCCATAGGAGCCGTCTTGTAAGACAAGGGGCCGATCAGGCAATATCTATCTCCAAATTCTCGAACTGTAACAGGTACTTTTGTCTTGATGACAGTGTAGATGCCGCCCACTAACAGAATATAAACAATGGGCACAATAAGCGTATCTCAGTGCCATTTACCTTTGTTTGCAACTTCCCAGGCAATCTCGAATAAGAGCGGGTTGTAGACGTCTCTGTGTTCAGGCATTGTGTGTGAAATAGTGTTGCTGATTTAAGAGAAAAAGCAAGAAACAGAAAGGAAGAAGGAGCTATTTTATAGACGTCAGGATACCTCAATAAGATGCTACTTTTCCCAACAAAGTATTCATCACAGATTGATTGGGGTTTAATACACTTTTACTATTTGGTGGTTGCCGTGTAACCATTCTCACGTATAAAAATATCTAGTTCTTCTTTTGTTTACTACTACCATTTGCACATTGATGGAAAACAAAACAAACATAGTGCACCATGGAAGAACAATGCTCTTGATTCAATGCAGTGCTACCAGAAGACAGCGCTCCAAGCGATTACAGGAGGGCTTAACTAGTGCCAACATCTAATTGATCGAACAAAGTGTAAATGTATTCCTGGAGCATGACACAAATCAAGATCCCAAAACCGAAAAGATACGCACTCTTACAATGAATAACAGTTAGAAATTGCTAATGTATTACCATCCGCTCTCATCAGTTCATTCCATGTGTTTGTTTGTCTCGTAAATTGTGGCTATAACGCAACGGGAAAACTTCCCACAGGAAGTGTCGTTCATCAGAACAAGGCTTGAGCGTTTGCAATTTGATTAACCAATAACATTTTGTTGATCTATCTGTTGAGTCGTTTTCGTCCCTTGATACACAGCCCATTATGTAATTTTTTGATCCGACAAAAATGGCTGCATTAGCAGTTAATTATAGTTTGGTGGGCCATCTCTTTCTTTATCTCGGGAAGATCTATAAGGCTTTTTTAAACTCGGTCCTTCAGATTAGGTATGTGATGGTGTACCAGCAGAAATGAGAAATCAAAAGTTTGTACACGGCAATCTAGAACCACCGATTTTGCTTGCATATTGAACGCACTGACAGCAAATGGCGCTATAAACTACTCTAGAGATTGTCTTTGTTATTATACTGGCCACTACTTCTGTAGTATGATCCGTGGCAATGCTAGCTTCATTGACTCAACAGGAATAGGCGATTGCATCCTTTGCGAATGTTATTCAAATGCTAGAACTGGATGTAATTCCGGGCCAAAGCACACCATGTAATTCTTGAAATAAACATGCTTGCATTTGCGAATGGCAGGTAAGCACAAATGTCTGCCATCATTATGAAATAATCGTGTATTAAAGTAGGTTCATGTTTATTTGCATTTCATAAAGTATTCTACAAATAGATGTGCGTTTCTAACATTTCTTTTTTTTTTCTTGACAAAAAGCAGGCTATGAGTCCATATCAACATCCTTGGACGCAGATGGCTGTTCAGACTCGCGGATCACATCTGCACTTTCACCAACAATAATACGCTCTTCAACTTGATCTTCAGGTACAGAGAATTGGCGAGTGTTGATGTTTTCAGACTTGTTGATTAAAGCTTTGTTTTGAGTGTTATTTTCTTTTGTGTGCTTGTAGAAGCAGTTGGGTCGTGTGCAAGCGCCATCAAACTTACACTATTGCATACAAATGAATTAGTACCTCTTTGCAATCACATACATCCATGCCAGCTTACAATCACTTCGGTCTTGTTGAAATCAGCATCTTTGGGGTGAAGGAAATGGCAATCTGGTCTTGTACAAGCATCACCGTTTTTACAAGGAATTGGCACTCGTTGTCCAACCTTGGAGAATGAAGGCTGGGCTTGCATGAAATACGCTTGTTGAGGTGGCATGATGGGATGCATGTATGGGCATACTGGGTTGTTGCAGTAAGGGAAGAATTTGCAGGGATATGGTAATTTGGTTGTATGAGGCTGTAAGGCCGGCTTGCCGATTTCTGGGTGAATGCCTAGACATTCTGATGCCTTTTTTGGGCAATTGGGGAAATCGCTGTGTATTCAAGTTAGTACCTGCAGTCAATGAATCACAACATGAACTTGGACTTACGGGCAGATGCTAGTAGGGTGGACAAACATGCAATTATCACCGTTTTTGCAGTTGGGCCAGTATTTACAACGCTCTTGTTTGCTATTGTGGTGACGGTCAGGGATGTCGATAGGTTTAGATCCACCCAAGCGATCGAAAACACTAGGTCTATCACCGCTATTGCCTCTTGCATTTCCAATTCTAGAAAACACATCATTCGATTTGCGAGAATCCCTGTCTTCATGGCGAGAAGTGCGTTCAGGGCGTTCGTAACGAGTAGGGCGACGTCCAGGTGAGCGAGATCGACTGCGAGAACGATCGCTGCGGTGGCGTGCTGATGAGTAGTCGGTGCGCTTGCTGTCATTTGTCAAAGCTCCAAGTGCCTGACTAAACATTCTGCTCTTAGGCCTCTCGCTATCCATGCGTCCTGTTTGTCGAGAAGATGCTGTGTTCTGCCTATCAGATTGGGGTTGCTCTTGTTGTTGAGGCTGCTCTTCTTGCATTGGCGTGGATGTTTCTGGTGCGGATGAGGGCGCTTCAAGTTCTTGCTTACGAGTGAAAATCCATTCAGTGAGATTGGAATCTACAGTACCCAGCGGTTAGTGATTAATCCATTGCGCAATGTGATTTGCACTGTATATACCATAATCAGTTCCTACGACTATTAAATGATATGTTAGACAAAGAATGCTTGCATGGCTCATCAGGTAGCAGCATAAACTTACGTAAAAGAAGCTCATCATTGACTTCCTGAGCATTCTTTCCAACTTTCAATAAGGTAATGATAAAGCCAGAGAGGGTCTTGTCTAAAATGCAAATGGTCAACATATAAGAGCTTGATTACAACGATGCTGTTGCAGCGTTTACCTCCCGCGTCACTGTATTCATAAGCGACAACCTTGTTGTGAATGTCGTTCTGCAAGCAACATGTTACAGTTAGTTCCACATCCATGAAGTGAGATTTCAACCATCGTCTTTACCTCTAATTGCTCTAAAATTCTGTCGTCCATTGTGTTCAAAAGGTCAAGTGTAATCGAAAAGAAAAAAAAAAAAAAAAAAAAAAAAAACTTCAATGCTAAATGTCGAAGTTCATGTGACTTTCTGCATGTTATGTAGGTTGATTTGGGTGACTTGTGAAGGCGAATGAAGCTTCTAATGCCTCGTAAGTGAATGACCTCTCGACTCTCAATCATCTCTGATATGATATATAAATAGCAGTATGTGTTGAGAAAACTATGTCGTGGCCAGGATCTATATCATCTACGAAAGATGCTCAAATTATGATAATATAATCACTTGCATACGAAACATTTGGTTGCTAATTGACAATAATGGACATATGCGATTTTGATCTGAGGCAAATATGTCAAAATCGGCTTAATTAGACCCCTAGTTCTATAAGTAGAAATAACAGAATTACTCGCACAGACAAATGTGTAAGATCAAATTATCTCCTTTCAACGCGACATACTGCATTGGCAGTAGATGTTTTTGAATTGTTCATTATCTTCAAATCCCTCAATGTCTGACCCACCTCCAGGGAGTTGTACGATATACTGGGCTTCATGAATTAGCTATAGCAGCATCTCAATAAGAAAGAGAGTGTGCGGCAAAAGTAGCGACATCTAGTGTATTAGAAGCAACAGAAGCACTGTGCAGTCCGTAAATGAGCCTTCAGTGAAGCTGATCATCATCTCTAGTAACTGCAATGCAACTTGTTTCATACACTATAGCATGAAAGACTTGTTGTTAAATATGCTGATTTATGCCAATTTACTTGTTCGGAGAGGCATCAAACAATTCCTTTAGATGCAAACATCTGGAGTACCTTTTTTTCGACCCATTTAGGGCACTAACCCTCCATGCGCTAGCTATCTTGATAAAATTGCTAGTATATTTGCATCTATGGTGTTCAATTACTATGACAGCACACAAAATAAGCCTACAACGCTGTATCTCGGATAAACATTGATGAGCACTTGCTTGTACCCGAGCTTCAAAGCCATCTGTAACATGATGATAAATGAAGCGAGACTCTGGCTTAATTTTGTACCCTGAATCTTTCTGACATTAAACCCAGGGACCAGCATCAAACTGAGAGTCTATTACAAATCGATAATCACAAATCAAAATGGTTCCTTTTGTTTGTATTACACTGATCTATATCTCGTTAATTTTCCCAATTATGGTCAAGTGTGGAGAAGAAACAGAGTAAAAGCTGGGAAGAAATTGGTACAGAAGATTGGAATAATGAAATGCTCTTGATAATTGAATGAGTCGGCAGGATATGAGAATACAATATGGTAAGATATTTATTTCAGGTAATATACGTATATGATATTAAATTGCTACAATAAAAATACAGGCCAGCATCATTTTTCATTAAAACGATGGGAAAATGAAGGAAAAAAGTACATGGTAAGTTTGAGGAACAGGGGGTAGATGAATATTATGGTACAGTAGTTGAAAGTAGAGATGATGTGATGGCGACTTTGCTTAGAATTCGTCATCACGACTAATGGGAGTCTTCTTGTTGTCCATCTCTTCATCAACGATTTGCTGAGAAGACTTAGGAATCATAATCTTGTTGGCTTGTAGATAGTAAGCGACACAACACATGATGACCATAGCAGCTGTCATTCCCATAGTGGTGATTTTACCAGTACGATAGGTGGGTGCGTCTTGAACATTCCAGGCCTCGACATTGACGAAATTGGGTACGAGGTTGCCGATGGAATTGATGATGGCAATGGCTAAAGCGCGGGACTCTCTGTCGCATGCGTAGATCTCGTTTGCCCAACTCATCATGATGGGAGAGATACCAAATACAGGAGGAACAAGGTAAGCACAAGCAAACAAGAGGCCAACGGGCACGTTACCACCATTGACAGCTACCAAGACAATGTACCAGATCAAAGTAAAGAGGCCGCCAGCAATAATGTGGAAAGCACGATGACCGAATCGGCCAGTGTTAAACTTATCAGAAAGCTTTCCTTGAGCAATGATGACCACACCAACCCAACACCAGATAGGAACCATCATGTAATTGGCAAAAGAGGATTCGTAGCCCATGGTCTTGAGGATGATAGGGAAGTTTTGCAGAATACCCATACCCATTTGCATACAGATAAACATGGCAGTGAACAGGTAAATGAATGGTGTCGTAAACAAGTTACGGAAGGTGGTCATGTTCAAGCCAGTAACAGCAGCGCTTTTACCTTGGCGCTCAAGACGAACAATAGCCATGTCACGCAATTCACCATTGATGAAACGAGTGTTATGAGGGAAATCAGGAAGAACAAAGAAGCCAGCGAAACCAATGACAACGGCAATGATACCTTCAATAATGAAAAGCCATTTCCAACCACGCATGCCGTGAGCACCATCTAAACTATTGGCAATAGCACCGGAAATGAGACCACTGAAAGCACCAGAGACTTGAGAGCCAGCGACAAACACAGCCGTACGTGTACCCAATTCTTCTTTGGTGTACCAAGAGCCGAGTAAAAAGACAATACCAGGATAGAAACCAGCTTCAGTCAAGCCAAGACAGATACGGAGACCGTAGAGACCTTTGTAATCCTTAACGAGAGCCATGAAACAAACAATGGCACCCCATACAAAGACAATGAGAGGCAACATGATACTAGGACGCACTTTTGTGATGATATAATTGGAAGGAATTTGTAAGCTATAAAGAGAGAGTGTTAATGACATGTCATTCATATCCGAATAGTGAAAATACATTACATAATGTAACCGATAAAGAACATGGTGAGAGCCCAATTGTATTGGTTGCTAACAAGGTTCAAATCCTCACTGAGACCAGTAGTTTGAGCATTAGGCATGTTGTTTCTGTCTAAACCGTTGGCAAAGTAACCCCAGAAGGCCCAAATCATAAGACGGTAATCCAAGAGACGGACAAGCTTCTTTTCGACCTGAGCATCAGTGGCAGAAGGCTGGGCTTGATCCATGCTCAATCTCTCGCCATCCTCAGCAAATTCGCCATCCATATGATGGGCTTGATTTTTATCTTCTTGCATGTTTATATTTTGTAAGTTGTTGGAGTTATGAGAGTGAAATATAAAGAGAATAAGACAGACATTTTGACCTGGTTTATATATGATTTTCGATGGACTTTGATTTACATGTTGATTGGCTCCTTCCCCACATTTCCCCGCATTTTACACGCCAATCAATCTATCTCCGTGGAGAACGGGAAGCACATAAAGTTTAGCCAGACTAAATAAGTGCAAAGGTAATATTCATCATCCCAACTTTTAGATTGAGCATGAAAAACAACTGTCATGTGGGAATATTTAATGGCTAAATAAAGTCAATTACATATATCTTCATTTGTACAAATTGTCCTTGTATAGTTGATTTGCTTCTACAAAACAGAAATATTCTGTACATTTGGAAGCCTGAAGTAACAAGGAAAAATCTGGAGAAATGCAGCCATGATATTCATACATGAACAATAAGATTAAAAAAGGTGGGGTAGTTTTTTTTTTTTTTTCAACTGACGCAAAAAATTTATAGACTAAACGCATATTATTAATGTAACAAGCTGGGTTACCACTTGGCGATGAGTATAGTTTGACTACAATTCGGTAAATGGTGTCCATGACAACAAAACAGAGAGTAGTAGGAGATTGAACGGTAAAATACGGGGTAAAATGAACTTAAAACTCGTCCATCTACACTTGATTCCATTTAATCGCTGGCACTGGATCAAAGGGTCCTGCATGCGCAAAACATATTTCATCGCAAAGCAGGTGGAGCCATACAGAGAAAGTAAAGCTAGGCAGATATTTGCTACCTCTATTCTGCCTACATCTGGCTCTGTACTTTAATGGATCTGCCAAGCAGAGTTTCACCGCATCGCCGGAGGGTCGCACTAACATGACTGGAGATGCTTTTATCACTGGTATATTCAGTAGGATCGAAGAATAATGTAAGCAACCTATTTTTTTACTAGGGTCGAAAGGGGCAAAACGGTAAAAAAGCAAAAACATTTGAAAAACACAGGGTAACATTGTTCATGAGCTACAAGAAACCCTTCTAAACATCTTTATAACGAAATGAAGAGTGCTTTCCATTCCATAATGTCTTTAGCTTTGAAATTCCGGAAAAGATTGGGGTAGTTTTCTCATCTCGTAATGAAAGTTTGTTCTCATCAATATGACCATATTGCATCAAACCATGCAAACACTACCATTGCTTACCTAAGCATGTTCTCCCAGGCTTACGGAAAAAAAACGTATATAAATATACACAATGGCAAGACTGGGGCCACAAGATGACTGATACTATTTTATAGATTGTAAACTTCAATATGCCATTTTAATTACTAAAATAGGCACGGTATCATTCGTATTTACCCTCTTGGTTGCTATGATACCTACTTGGAAGCAAATGGATCATTTGCATCCGTTAAAGGATATGAGAACTGACGGCTCCGTGGCAGAAGAATTTACCGATAATTTAACCACCTAGTTTTGGTTTTGAAAATGGATATTTCTATAAGATTGAACAGTTGCATGCCATCTTGATCATTTCTTTCAGAAGTGAGACCGTGGTTGATTTCTTCTGCTTCCATTGTACGCCCGTTCTACCTCTTGAGACGCAAAAAAAAATATAGTATACAGGGGCCCTATTAAAGTTTGTTTGTTGTAGAGTTTGTGCACCGTAAAGATGCTCCCAGAAGTTCCGAGTGCCAATGAAGCAATGAGCGCGACCAAGAGATATTTTGGCAGTTTTCAAAAGACATATTGTATTAACGCTCTGAAATCTACATTTGCAGCAAATACAACGCGAAGAGACCTGGCCCTCCTGTTATGCTTTATTTGAAGTCTTTCAATACATTTGGATCAGCTGGCTATTTTATTACTCGTGTTGAGAAATGTTTCCAGATCAAACTTGACTTTGAGTTCAAGAATCAGAGCACATTAAATGTCCCATTTCACGCAATCAAACGAGCCATTTGTGTAAAGTAGTAGTAAGCCGCAGTTGAAACAAACGATGGGCTACCTTAGTTTGCAATTGTCTTTTATTGGGCCTCCAAAAGCATCGATTGCTTTTATAATTGAGCAAGCATTGAATTCGCCAGCCATCGACAAAATCAGCTGTAACTCCATCAAACATTTTTTGCCTTTATCTGACTTGATTGATCTATTTTGCTGTCTCTGCTGCTAATTGGAAATTCTTTTGGTCCCTATCTCTTACCTACATTCAACGTAATGTGATATACCGGTTCATCGCAGGCTGTATCCCTTCTAGAAGCAGATTACACTACATGATGCCTGCAGTCTTCGAGTCTCACAATTGTCCTGTCTGCTTGTCTCCCAATGAAACCGCCAGCCACCTGCTCTTTGACTGCCCATCCAAAGTAAAGGTATGGCAAGGCGTCATTTTCGAATTCCTTTGGCCCACCACGACTATCACTGACATCAAAGAGGCTCTTCTGTCCCTGGACTTTTCGGATATCTGGTACTCCCAAGTCAAAGGCATCCGTCCATACAGCATCCTACTCATCACCCTGTTTCAAATATGGCTAGCCCATATGCGATTTGTGTTTGACAACATCATCCTTGTCCCTGAGGCGATTCTGGAGAATATCCGCTCCACTGTTCGCCAGACAGTGGAGGAGGACCAAATCCATTCCCTCTTGTAGTTAGATAGTTTAGATAGTTCTTTAGATTAGTTTAATTTAGTATTTTATGTTCTTATAGTATTTCTGCTCAATTGCACCCACCTCTTCACTTCGACCATTACTCCTAGTGTACGCGGCTCAATCAATAAACAAAATTTAAAAAAAGATCTATTTTGCAGGATTCAACTATATATGATGTTCGAAATCTTTCAAACTCTCTTATGCTTTCTTGTATTACTTTCCATGGCAAATCCAACGGTACTGATTATATGAGGTACTATGAATAAGCTTATAGAGCAATTTTTGAAAACGTGAAATGAAGTTTTTGGCGAAAATGTCAAAATTTTACATATCAAGGTCCCACAAAGATGATTTCAGGGGCTACGTTAGATCGATAGAAACAATTTGATTCAATATCTGCTTCGTCCCAGATCCCCAGCGGATTTCCTCACTCCCTGGCTGATGTATACATTCCATGTATACTCAGGTCATGCTACTGTGCTGCCTTTGCTGCTATACCCACGTACCTGCTGGCCGCGTGTGCGGAAATGCCCTCACTTGGAGCATCTGGCTCGTCTACTCACTCGTTTGCCTCCCTTGACTCTCACTCCTGAGTGGCCGTCTTGGTGGCTCCTAGATCTGCCCTGGTTACAAGTATGCTCCCTGTCTCCCACAGCGACTTTGCCTTTGACTAGGAACAGTGACAAACTGCCACCTCATGCCTTGATTGCCAGCCTCTTGAGCGTGCTCCCCAACTCCCACATCTTGGTTTGCGTGCGTCCCCGTGATACTGCTGCATTGCAACATCTGTTCAATGCCTTGTGCCCCATCGAGGGTCCTCCTGTTTGGGTTGTCCCTGCTCCTCTCAGGTCCGTCATGGCCTTCACCGCTCCAGAGCGAACCGCACTGCTGGAGAGTTCCACTACCCCCTCTCCACCCACGGCTAGCTTTTCGCATTGGTTCATCACCACTGGCCCTCGCTCAAAAGCTACAGTGGACAAGATCACTCTCGGGGCGTTACGCCGTTCCTGGCATCCGTCATTTGACATGTTGCGTCGCCCAGCCCATCCTCCTGGCTATCGCCCACCACATCTCCTGCTTCCTCCTCACCTCTGGCGTGATTTCTGGTCTCTCTGTCTCCCGCCCAAGGCATTTACACCGTGGCGGCGTTTGCTGCATGGACATCTCTCGGTGCAGGTTCGCCTGCACTCCATGAACCGTGTGAAGTATCCTTCCCCACTGTGTAAGATGTGTCATGAAGCAACTGAAGATGAATACCATATGGTCATTGGCTGCAGTATGAAGTCCCTCTTCTGGTATGAGTTTGTCTCTCACCTTGGTCTTGCTGATCTGTTCCCTACGGACGAGGCCATCTGGATTGGGTTGACCACCCTTCACGGCCAGGACAACAATCCTCTGGACATTTCCATCTTGGAACTTCTCGGCGCTGCCTTCTCATCTATCTGGCAACATCATTGGGGCTGCACAATTGATGGTAAATCTTGGATCACTCGGGCTGTTTTCTCCTCTTTTCTGGAAGATCATTCCAAGTTAATTTCTTCTTTCTTAGACATGTAAGACCCTTATGGCACCTTACTGTCTATAATATAAATAAAAAACACATTTAAATACAAAAAAAAAAAAAAAAAAAAAAATTGATTCAATATTTATCATAGTAAAAGTGTTCACTATCAAGGTCAAAAACGCAATCGTTTGATTTTCGATGAATTTTTTTTTTTGGATGATATTATTTTTTTAGAATAGTAATAAGAAATAAAACAAATATTTTTGATAAAAACCATGAGGGGTACCTCATGCTTTTTGTTCGAATTTCATCCATGTTTTTTTGATCCTCAAAAAGTTGAACAAAGGTGTCAGAAAGTAACTGCCAGATGGGAGTAGCTGTTTGGTGCTATTCTGGCGGTCCAAAATGACTTCTAACTCTAGAAAACACAACTCAAATGTATCCAAACGTCGCAGTGTTTTGTGTGTATTTGGGCGGTGAGAGACGATATTAGTAGGATATCTGGCCGTATATGGTTTGTTCCCATTGATATAATTGTGGACCATCGCAAAAGAGTGAGATATACGGTTATAGCTTGTTTAAGGAAAGTTTTCGTGATAATTGAAGACTAAAAAGTGAATGTTTGTATAATAGTAGGTGAGAGATCCATGTGCTACCTATGCTATGTCCTCTTTTTTCTCAGTAGCTGCAACATCGCTTTTAATTAATACAGGCTGAAAACTAGCTGCGTATAATGTTGCCGCCTAGACTTCCAAGAACTCTGTCTTTCCATGCTACATCTCGCTTAAAGTCTGCGATATAGAGAAATCAGCCTGGCCAAGCCTGAGCAATTTTATGATTTAACCCTTGAATATATATATATATATATATACGAGACTCAAACTAGGTTGAGGGCGTCTTCAAACCAGTTTTGAATCTTTGCGAGACTTACACAGCAGGGTATGACACACACTATTAGTAACGGAAATGTGTTTGGAAAGGGTAAGCTTTGTAACTGCTCAATTTGTACTACACAAAATCCAGTGCCCCCCTAGAATGCAAAATGTCATTCAAACAAGGTTGTCATTGTACCGAGTATTTCTGTAATATCAAACAAAACAAACAATTTCAGTGGTATAAATAGCATGACAGGCGGGCAAAACCATAATGTAAAGTGCCTTCAAGTAATATAAAAGAGTATATGTTATTTTAATTAGGTTTTTCAGGAGTGATAATAATAGGAAAAAAATTAGGGAGGCAATAGAGAAAAACTTGTTATTGTTTGTAATCATCATCCAGTGACTCATCGCTCGTTTTCCTTGTGAAAAAAAAGGGGATTATTATGAAATTATATGTGGAGGCTATATGAAATATTTAAGATAATCAGAGTTAGACTCGATTGTTTAGTTCTGTCAAAATGACAACTTCTTGGTGCTGCTTGATTTCAAGTCTGACAGGCTTGTCACCATTGACTCTTTGAAGGGCTCTCTCATTCAATTGGATTTCTGCAGGATGTGTGGTAACTATAGTAAAAAAAAAAAAAAAAAAAAAAAAAAAAAAAAAAAAAAAGTGAGTTGAGATGGCTTCAAATGATATCATAGCTTGTAACCTACCCCAATGGATCACCATACAGACGATAGTAAGACTCAATGCAGATGCACTGGAAGCAACCAATCCTCTCTCGTGTCCGTTCAAGCAGATCAAGATGGTAAAGTTGGTGCTAGATGTAATTAATGCAGTGATGGCGGCTATAGCATTGCGTTTTGCCATCATATGCAAAGACGACGATTGGTGTGCTGTTTGTTGTGCTGTATTGGGGAAACAGTAAAACTTGATGAAGATGACAATGTAGAGGATCGATATCAAAACATCATAACAGAGAGCCGCGGCGGAAGCGGGTAGACCAAAGCCCACAGTGCAATGGAAAGGATATTCACTTGACACGATATTGGTGCGAAACATGATTTGGAGCAAAATAATGGCAACGTGAGGCAGCATTAGACCTAGATTGATTAAATACAAGGGTGATTTAAATCGAGTACTTTTTGGCACAGAGATAATGTGGATCTATACAAACAGCATGAGTAACTGATTATTCATATACATTCTAGAGAGGCGTACCTTTTCAATAAAGTACAGGTAGAGCACCAATTTGGCAGCAGTGTACAGAATTGCGCAGTTGAAATTGGTCAAGACACAAGAGATGAAATTACCGTTGTTTGTGCTAGTGAGCATACAAGCAATCAGATTGAACGCCCAGCAGAGACCGTATAAAAGCAGCAATAGGCCTCGAACATAGTGAATGGGGCCATCTATACTGGCAATCTTTCTTCCAAAGATCAATGAGACGATGGTAATGCAGGTGACGCTATTCACTTCGGCGAGGATTTCCCATTGATCGGGCGAATACATGATAGTTATTTATTAGAACGATGAGAAGAAAAAGAAGAAAGATAAATTCACAAAAAAAAAACATCAAGTGGAAAATAAATAACACACAATCAAGGAGGGAGGCAGAGAGGATCAAGTTACAGGTTCAAACAACAACATCAAATATTAAAAATCAAGGAGTAAAAAAAAAACATAGAGTTGCATGCTAGGTCTGTGTAACTGTAAACGATGGCATCTGCTATTTACCAAGGTCTCTTATGAAACTACTAGCACCAGGAGGCAAAATACAAGCAGCCAGGCATGGAGAAAGGTGGAAGGATCTGTAATATGTTATATCTATCGTTATGATATATCATTGCGCCATCCACCTTTATCTCTTCATCCTTATTTTTTTTTGTAAATGTCTCCTTTATCACTATTACCTTTATATCCCCCCCCCCTCCCTTCATTGATATACTTATGCATTCTAGGTTAGTGTCGTCAAACAATAACAGGATTTCGCCTTCATTTCTCTATGCTGCCAATCCATGGCAACAACAACAATAAACAGACAGAGCATCAGGAGAGAAGAGGCACAATTTGATCTCCGTGTATCGCCTTGACACACGGCTTTCCGGGCTATGAGAGAATGCAACTACATGCTACTGCTGCACCGCGCAGAAGCGCGTGTGTTGAAAAAAATAGGAAAAAAAAAAGTAGACACCTTCTTTTCCATAAAACCCGCGTTCTTGTACTGCCATTTACAATTTACACTAGACAACATGGATGAAGAAGCACAAGAGATCGAGGGAACTAAGGGATACATCCTGAGCTTGTGTTCTGCTATCGGTGGTCTGGAGGAAATCAAGCAAGATGATGGAACAGTGGGCCAAATCTACTGTGCTGGTGACGAAGCGCTAGGTACCAAAGACATATCATGATGAAGTGTGATTGTGCTAACAATGCGTACAGCTTGTCTGAGAGATCTCAAGAAGGCCATTCGTATTGATAGCCAAAATAACGAAAAGATTGTGCTCAATACCCTCAAGGAACACAATGTTGTAAAGACGGATATTGTACCTCTACTGTTATCATACCGCAACCAACGTACAGAAGTAGCAGATCGATTCATCCTTGCCTGTGGTAATGTAGAAACAATGCAATAGTAGAGCGAGGTCATGCTGATAAGTGAGCACACAGTTGAACTGCTGGTGCCAATGACATGGCCATTGGAAAAGAAGAGTCTCGACGATGAAGACGAGGACGATCAAGAGGAAAATCCCAATGTGATGCAATGCTACCGAAGATACAAGTTGGAATTACTGACGCCTGGTGTATTCGAGACTATCCTCACCATGATTATTAAAGCACTTCGCAAACCACACAGGTAACAAACAAAAGGAGAGACATCCCTGACTCAATGCATCCAGAAGGGTAACCGGCATTCGCCTTTCTGTTGTGTAGAGAGAGATCCACTGTCGATCACACCAGTATTCGACTTGTGCTCTATCTTTTGCGTAATTTAGCTGCGATTCCTGACTTAAATATGCCCGAATTTGGTACTGAAGATCAAGTGAGAATGTCGCATATGCAGGAAATGCTGCTGGTTCGATTTTACGAGTCGGATATCATGGAGTTCTTGCTGACAATTGCATCCAACAGCGAGAGACAAGGCGGTACCTCAGAATGGAATGTGCTGGTGCTGGAGACCATTTACAACTTGATCAAATACGTGGATCCCAAAGATGTGTTTTCATACAAGCCCTCAGAAGATACAGTAGGTTCATGCACTTTGAGGACGACGACAAAAGAAAACCAACTCTATTTGTAGAAACAAGGAGAGCTCCAGGAAATAGCAGCTAAATTATCGACATTACTAACAAACGAAAACTCCAACAAACGACGCAAAACTGGATACACACCATCAAGACACAATCGATTCGGTGGCACCTACGTGCTTGATTGGGATGGCAAAAAGCGAGTTTCGCACAAGCAAGTGGCTGGCTTCGCTGACTCTGCATTTCTCGTGGAAGGAGACAAAAAGACAAATAGACTAGGAAAAAGACGCAAACTGGAGGATATGCATACAGCAAAGAAAGTATACCAGAACAGGAAATCGCTGAAATATCTCAAAACTGTCTCTCAGTCATTCCTTACATCGTGTTTCAATGGTAACCTCGCGCAATGTGGATGCTGATTACAATTGCTCATTTTTTCCTATTTAGCATTTTTCGATTGCATCCTCAAAGACATGCAACGTGAAGATGATAGCATTGTCGAAAAAGACTATCCTCGCTACTTTTTCACCATGAAGTGGTTCCTAGAATTTCACATCTACGAACACAAGGCAGCCCTTGAGCGAAAAGCAGATGGATTCCACATGCCAAATGAAGACCCACAGCAGGAAAATATTGACAATAACCATTACGACTACTCTCTCGTTGCCAGCGCACTGAATCTCAAGACTGTTACATATTGTTTGCGACACATACGAATCAAACTGGATGAAAAAGCGTGGTTTGATGTGCAAATGGCAGTGGATTGCTTCCGCCAAATGCTGGTTACAGTGGGTACCATGGTCAAATCAGACGTAGAAGAGCACCGAGAAGTAGCAGAGCACATTCAGCAAAACGTGTACTATGAGCAATCATTCCTGGATCTGTTCCTTGAATTAGTGAAATGCTACAAAAATCAGTCGTATGGTTATCTGAAGGCTGTTGTCATGCTGACACATGTGCTGCTAAAGTCACTGGGTCACTATCAGAGGGGAAAGAAGATGATGTTTGTCCGCAAAAAGAAGAATCAAAAGAAAAAGAAGCCAACCAAAAGAGGGGAGGCACCTGAAGAAGAAGAGGGCGTTGCAGTCATTACATCCATTGCATCAGAAGATGAAACTGAGCCTGAAGTGGACAGGAGCAAGGAGCAAGAATACAAAGACATCCAGTTCAAATTCTCAGCATTCGAGCAACGATATGTTTCCTGGGATGTGGTGCGCGCCTATACATCTCTATTGGAATTATATCAACACTTGACACCAGAATACTTGGTTTGTATAGCGGGTATGTTTCATAGACTGATGGTCAAAAGAAAGGCAGAATATCTCTTTTGGAAGGTAAGACGATAGATCACTGCGAAAACTGCAGCCATTGATGTCCCCCCCCCCCCTCTGTAGCTTCCAATCCTGGAGTTGTTCAATCGCATACTGCAAGACGCCAGCAAGTTTTCTAATTCACCAGCATTTGCAGAGCTGGAGCAATTCATTCGGTATTCAACCCGCCAATTCTTCAAGGCAGCTGCTGAATATCCACTCCTGTATGTAGAGGCACTGAACCCTAGCATCAAGTCGAATCGCACTTGGTGGGAAATGCCCAGTGAAGAAGAGCAACTAGAGAAACAAAGATACGAGCAAGACGTCAACTATATCCCGCCTGCCACTTGGGAGCGTGAGGGGCCTCAGCAGGCGGGGCAAGCACAAGTAGATAAGGAATTAGATGAAAATGGATTGGATGCTTCCACGGAAGACTATTACTACTCGGCATTTGACAGACGAGATGAAATAGAAGCTGGGGGCAGTGGCACTATAAGTAGCAATCCAGTAACAACACCAAAAGATAATACGAATGATAAGCCTACAAAAGAATCGAGCACTAGCATTAATGAAGCCGATATATTCAGTGACGAAGAAGATCCACTTGAGGCTGCTTATCGCAAATATAAGGCCGACTTGACTAAAGAAGCAGATCATGAGATGACAGAGAAGCCTCAAAAAGACAGTAATTTATTAGACACAGAAACGACAGAAAAGCGTCATGAAGACACTGTTTTATTAGATTCGGAAATGACAGACATTTAACTGTAGTAGTAATAGTAATAAATTCATGTACATATATATAGCAATTAATGTTTGTCTTTTTGAGCCTTTGAAAATATAAATACGCCTACAACAACGACACCCAGGAAGCCAATGGCAGCATGCAATAGCAAGTTGCTCTTTGCAGCTGGTGCTGGTGCTGATTTTTTGGTGCTTTTTGGCTTGCTTGCATTTGGCTGTACATTGACAGTATGAACGTCTGCCTCATCTTCGACATCAATCATTTCTAATCTAGAAGGTACAATTGATGTGGGTGGCACTACTGATGCTGATGCTGCTGCTGCTGCTGCTGCTGTTAATTGCTGGTCATGAACAATCAACTTGACATTGGATTGCTCTAATTTCAATGCCAACTGTACAGCGTCTACTATATCGGAATCACTAGAAATCAACACCTTGTCTTGCTCATCATCCACATAAGATATGCTAAGCCATTCCTCTTCTCCCACATCGTCACCGTGTTCTGGCAGCAATTTAACCCGAACTGCCTCCAGTAGATCACTGTACAAAGGTCTGCATACCACACGGTGTGTCTTTTGTCCTGCAGAGGTAAACTTGAATGTAAAGGTGTCACTCGTTGCTTCCATGACAGAGGACGATTGATTCACCATGCTGGCAGATTCATTTGGTGATATGTCAGAGTAGCTTTTTAATTGTGAAAGTGATGTGGATGGTTGAGGTGATATCGTGTTGGAAAGATGTGATCGTGTGCGTTGGTGAGATGATGTATCTGATAGTTGCGACGAGCTTTCAGTATGATCCACAGCGCCAAAACTGTCCCAGAAGCGTCCCCACATTGGTCCTTCTCCTTCCTTGCCTTCCATGCCACTCATCTAGTATTTCATGCGATAAGTAATCCATGATTCTCTGTGCCGTTCATCTCAATATCATGTACCTGCTCTAATGTAACGTACGTCAACTTTAATACATCTACCATGCCAGTAACAATGCCACTATCAAGAACTGGGAGATTCAAATAGTGTCCCTCTACAGCGATAAAAAAAATGAGATAACAAGCAGAACAAAAAGCACAAGACCTTACCATTCATCAATTTAAGAGCATCCAGAACGGTCGTCTCGGGAGTAGCAGTATCAGGGTTGGGTGTCATTACCCTGACAACGGTGCAGTTTTCAGGATTCAAACCTGCTGCAATGACACGTAGTACGATATCTTTTCTATTACAAGCATGAATTTGGGAGCCCACTTTGCATATACAATCAACCGCTTACGATGTGAAGATACCAGCCAAGTTGTGATGCTTTTGAACCAAGACGGCTGTGGTATGCAATTCCTTCATCATGACGGCAATGTCTCTCACATTGGTTCTGTACTTGACTTCTGCTGGAGGTGTTCCATCCAACACAGAAGCCAGATTGGGACATGACATTTTCTCTCGTAGCGACTCCATATACTCGGTCAGTTGTGCTGGTGTGCCTGCCCATTCCTTTTCCACGCCTTCAATAGCATCGTATAACAATCGAGATGATCCAAAGGCTCTTTCCATCTTTTCCAGAGCTCCATATAAGCATTTTGTAATGTCCAATAAGCCAAATATGTCGCCATCTTCATTGCAAACGGGCTACCATTATGCAACACTCAATATTTTGAAATCTGTCATACGATCAAAAACTTACCAAATGACGAAATCCTTTGGACACCATGAGATTCAAGGCCTCTGTAGCCGAAGTATCTGATGTAACACACATGGGATTCTTTGTCATGATATCAATGACGGGTGTGGTTCTATCATTCAAGGATTATATAAGTATGGTATGCATGTCGTGTCGAGTATGTGGCATTTCTTACTTGGCGTCTAAATTTTCCGCAACAAGCCTGTATGCTATATCCTTTGCCTATCATTACCAAGAGTGTCAGTTACCATTGCAAATAGATTCTAATACCTCTTACTCACTGTAAATATACCAGATAAATGATCGTCCTCATTGATGACCAAGACACAATCACAGCGCTTGGCTGCCATGAGTTGAGCAGATTCAATCACCAACATATTCTCCTTGACTGTTAGTGCTTGGCCTGGCCTCAGGGCAGACACTGTACCCGGCACACGTTTACTCTGGAGTGTTCTAGAGGAATTTCCCTTCTTTTTCGAGAAATCTTGCTCTAATTTCTTGCGAATAGCCTATACTTGGTTTCAGATATTGAATGACTGAGGGCTTGTATTGACTATGTTATTTTACCTCGTCTCGTTTCAACTGTCTTTGACGACCTGTGGAATCCGCATTCTCAACGCTCTCTACTGCACGCACTTTTGTTTGTCTTTTGGAAGACGACATATGTTGTTGTTGTGTGTGTGGTAAGGGAATAAAAAAGAAGAATGCACGTTTTCCGTTGTATAATGTATTACGCGGATATTCAATTGGCATTGCTTTGACTGAATGATGCATCATTTCATCAATAACTATGTGGCTTTTTTTGTTCTAAATATACCATTTACCACATGTTTTGCCTGATTCTTTACTATTTGATGTAGCTGTTTGATTTTTTGGTAATACTAAAATGTGTCCTTCCCTCCTTATAAGTAGCCCACTAACGGGAGTGATATTCATCATCTGAAGAGATAAATTAAACCGTGCCTGACTGTCGAGACAACATGTCAAATTTTTCCGAAACCAAACAGTAACATGCCATCCTGTAAATCATGTTTGGAGATGAAAGCGATGCTTTGACAATGCTTTAAGCTTGTTCAATTCGACCCAGCAAAGACTCGCAATTGCATTTATTATATATTAGTTTACATGCAAGCAAAAAATTATCACTATCAACGTCTCACGCTAACATAAATTTGACAAAAATATATTGCTGACTGTGAGATTCGAACTCACGCCTCTTGCGAGACCGCAACTTGAGTGCGGCGCCTTAGACCAACTCGGCCAAATCAGCTTCTGTGATTTTGAAATATTAGTATAATACATAGATCTAAGACACAAGTTTTTGCTTGGCGTGGCCCCTGCCTCTGTAACTTTCTTGCGTGTCAGCTAAGGTTAATACAATGAATATACCTTTAAACAATAAAAAGAAATAGTTTACAAAATTCCGATACGTTAGGGACAGTTATATCTCAGTGTATGTCAAGACAAATTCTGAATACAATATAGAAAAGACGACACTTTTCAATAATATATAAAAGAAGTTGTAATGAAATAGCCACCCAAACGCAACTTAATTGAAAACCAAAGTTCATCAAATAGCACTCATTCAAATTCATGCTATTTGGATCTATTAATGAAAGCGCTCAAATGTACATCAAAAAACCATTTAAAAATACTAAAGTAAAGATGCATGCTTATTGCAGTGAAATCAGGTTTAAATAGATTTCACAAAAAAAATAAAGCAAAGGTAAAATACAATAGAAATCAACTGTATTTTATTTTGTGTATAAAATGAACTGAAGATCCTGGAATTGAGTAAAAAAAAGAAGAGTATTTATACATTTGCATCTGGCTTGTAGGATTAGTGATGATAGAGAGCAATAGGTGCTGCTATTGCGATATCTGGCAAATGTTGTTGATGTTTGATTTAAAGTGGTAATCAATGCAGGAGCACTGGCCATAAGGGTCGATTTGAGTAACCTTGATGGGCTTGGGTGAGCTATCGTCATAGCATGATTTAATGTAACCTTGATGGTTTAAAGTGTGATGTTTGTTATTGAAGCATGGAATCCTTTATCTGGGATATTGTGCAACTATGGCAGCAGGGCATAGTTGTCATATTTGAATATGCTTGTTATTGATTTAATTCTATTTGGATAAAGATACCATCACCTATTACGACCATCATGGGTGTGATTGAATACACTGTGATCAGGAGTGATTCATTCACACGATGTGCGATATAAGCGTGTATCTTTACTTTAGTATTGTTGTGCCAGAAGGGCTACAACTGTCTATAAAGATTAAGGTATTCTTGATGGGTAGATATGTCTGTGTTGTGCAACAACATGGACAAGCTATGATAAGTGAAGTGCATCTCAGCTATCTAAATACTGAGGTTCACCAGATGTGATAAGCGTTGTACAAGATAAATTGCTACTTTGGCATTCAGAACTTAGTATAAATAGAATAACTCTTGTCTTCATCAATAAATCATTAGTTTTTGTGTCTGATCTTATTCAAATAAGTCTTTTCTTGTTTTTATAATATCGAACATTTTTTATAAGCTACAAATAATAATCCTTTTATTCTTTGTGCTTAACATTTTTTAAGATCGTGTAAATCAGAATCTTCCAGATTTTAACCTACCTATCTAATTTAAACCAAAAATATGACTATGAATGATTCTACTGTGTCTCCTGCAGAACAGAACAAGAGTTTAGATGTTCAAGCTGTTGGAAGCGAGCTTTCATACGGAGGAGCTGTAGAGCGACTTCGTCAGGAGGTTCATGGGTTGATCGCTGAAGTTGCGAACAGTGGGGACAAGTCGGACGAAGAGGTCGACGCTTTGAAGGCTGCCCTGTCAAAGAAGTGCTCTAACTTGGAGGCTATAGAGAAAGCTCTCTCTATGGTCACACCTAACCAGAGTCCTTCCCAAGTAACAGTGGTTAGTCAAGGTGCGGCTAATAGTTCAACTGTACCTGATGATCTTCCTTTGTTCCAATGGTTTGGACGTGTCAAAGATGAAAAAAAGGAAGTTTTTGCCAACATTGAGGAGTGTTGTCGCCGGTTTTCCGATAAGTTGAGCAGTTGCACGCTTGATCTTGACGAACACTGGTATCGTTTGCTTCCTCCTTGTCTTCCCGGCGATCTTCGCAATTGGCTTGATGAGTTTGTGAAAGCATCTGGCTCCACTGTGTCTTGGGCTACCTTGAAGGGAGCTATCATCGGTCGTTTTGGTACACCAAAAGAACAGCTCAGATTCGAAAGAATTAGGGAGTTTCTTCGTTGTACTAAAGGAAACGAAGAATCCGTTGATGGTTTCGTAGAGCGGTTTAAGACGTTGAGAAATAGAGCTGACATCAGTGATAAGGGTGTCGTAGCGATGGTGTTTTTTGACGCTTTCCCCAAGGTTACCGCTAGGTTGCTAATGGTTGCTATGAGTCAGGCACCAGAATCGTCATTTTATGACATTGATTATGTGTCCTCTCTCGTGCGCAAGATGGATATGATGGCTATTGAGACGGGTCAAGAATCTTTGGGCTCTGTTTTTGATGGAAGAAAACGCGCTGCTGACATACCTGTTTCGAACGAAGCAAAGAAGTCTCGGTACGCACCTTCTTCTAGTGGAAACGCTTTTCAAAGTAGCTCTTCGTCGAGATCCAATGGTCCCTCGTCCAACTCTCCACGTTCTAGTGCTAATCGTTTTGGCAAAACATTTGCTGAACATGTTGCTGAAGGGACTTGCTCCAAATGTAACGGTCCTCGACCAAAGGGGCAGATGCATCACTGCAACACTGCTATTCGTACTGGTGGTGGTAACACCCATCAGGGCAATGGTGGTAAAAAAGTTTTGCGTGCCATGACTAAGAAACGTGGTGGCAAACATTCGATGGATGCTGCAATCCAAGCTGCTTTTCTCTCTGCTCGTGTTGATCGTGCGTTAGCTGAGAAAGGTGCTTCTTCCCCTGCTGTCTCCTCTGCTGAACAATCGGTGGATGATGTTGTCCTTGCTCCTTCTTCTGGTGATAGTGACAATGTTGATGTTGACCAAGATGCTGTGATGAGTGAAGCTCATGGTATCTTTGAGGATACTGACCTGGTGAATCGTGCCCAGTCTATTCTTCTTGAAAAAGAGATGAGTAGCATGTCTGTGGACGACGATACGCTACAAAATATATTTGCTCAGCAATGTAAGTTCGATGCTAGATTTAGTGCTCCACCTACTATGACCACCAATGCTATTTGTGTTCCTATTGTGGTTCAAAATGTCATTTGCTTTGGCTTAGTGGATACGGGTGCTACGTTTTCGTGCGTCACTGACAAGTTCTTTCAATTCTTAGGAGGAACCTCTCTTGCTGGATTTGAGGCTAATGATGATGATGAGAGCTTTGTTCAAATGGCTCATGAAGTAACGACTGTGCCTAGAATAGGTGCGGTACGTTTGCACATTAGCTACAATAAATCAAATAAAAACCATTTGTTTGAAGTATTTCCATTCTATTCTGAGGAAAACGTACCTGTATTGCTTGGTATGGATATTTTGTCCAAGCTTGGCATTGGTCTTACGGGCTTGGTGAGTCAACATGGCTTTCAATCAGGTCCTCGTGTACCAGACCCTATTGATGATGGTATTACTCCAAACGCACATCCTTTTGGTAGTGAGGAAGAGAGACAACCGTTTTTACTTGCACTAAAGGGGTTATTAGAAGAGAATTCGCGCATTGATATGAAGAATACTCAGTGTAATCTGCCGGATTCGATTATTAAGCTTGATACTAAACCAGGTGCTGTCGCTTGGCGAGCTCAATATCCTTTGCCTGAAGCTTATCGTGATGCTGTTGCCAAACAAATTCAGATATGGCTTGATGAGGGTGTTGTTGAAAGATCTGCTAGTCATACACGTTTCAATCATTCATTGTTGGTTGTAAAGAAAAAGGACGCTGATGGTAATTACACAATGTCTAAGCCTAGAGTGGTGTGTGACGTTCGTAAGTTGAATGCTATCTTGGAAGTGGATGACAAACAACAGTTACCTTTGATCTCTCATATCCATCAGAGCATTGGTACAAAAATGATTCATACTTGTCTCGATATCCATGCTTGCTTTACTAGCTTTGGTTTGGATCCAGAGCAAGCTCATAAAGTTTCATTTACTTGTCCCTTCACGAATATCCAATATACCCATAAAAAGGCTGCTTATGGAATTCGCCATGTCGGATCGGTGGTTGTACGCACATTGCAAACACTGCTCTCTGATTTGAATACAAGCTCTAGTTCTACTTCGTTTCCTACTGATGGTGATCACTCGGTTTCCTGCTATGTAGATGACATCTTATGCAGTAGTAATGGGAGCCTACAAGATCACTATGCGTTGGTTGCTGAGGTAATTCGTCGTTTAACCGATGCTAATTTGGTGCTCAATCCTGAGAAAGTCGTCTTCGCTCAGCGTAGTATTTATCTCTTGGGATGGAGTGTTATTAATGGTAAATTACTGCCTGACGGTAGAAAACTTACCAACATTGCAGATTGGCCGGCTATTACCACTGGTCGTCAATTGGCATCTTTCCTGGGTTTAATGTCGTACTTTCGTGCTGCCATTCCATGTTATTCTCGTCTGACTCGAGATCTTGATAGCTTGAAACAGTACAAAGATCTAACAGATGTTTGGAATGAGTCTCATA